AGATTAGATACATTAGATTACATCAGACTACATCAAATGTATTATATAGATTAGATACATTAGATTACATCAGACTACATCAAATGTATTATATAGATTAGATACATTAGATACATCAGATTACATCAGACTACATCAAACCGTCTGATTCAGATACAGTAGACTTCATTCACCACATAGGACAGTGTGCGGTGTCACTGTGTCCGCCAGGGGGCGCGTCGACGGGTTGCGGGAGGGTGGGTGCGTTCCCGCAGCAACAGGGAAGATGGCAGCTCTCACATCTCTCACCCAGGTAAAGATGCAGCAGTTTACACGTTCCACACTCGAGTGTAGAGCTGAGCTAACAACGCAGTACGTGCCGGTCCCGACACCGCGTTTTAAATGTGACCCCGAACCGGAGCCGTGAGGTGAGACAGAGAGAAGCTCGGTCAGCTGAAGCAGGCCCGGTGCTGCAGCCTTACCGTTACATAGCGCCTCTGTTAGCCGCTGTTAGCCGTCGCTGCTTCCAGCTAACCGTGTGTCTATGTATCTACGGCCTGACGTTTATTTAACTTGCTGCTTATGGCTGTAAATGCTACTACCGCCACGGAGGCCATGCACGGTTGGGGACAGGCTGGCCCGTCCGCGTACAAGTCCCACTCAGTGGTAAGCTAGTGAAGCTGGGCTAGCTTAGCCTGGATGCCGAGTAGAGAGTGAGGATGGGTCTGGAAGGCTGGAGGCCACACAGCAGACTCTGCATGAAGCTGTGAATGATGCTCGTCTCAGTCTCAAATAATGAGCACTCACAGCAGCCAGACGTCTTAACCCTGCTACAGGCATGTGGTGTTGTGATGCACATATGCCTTTATTGAGAGTGAATTGCGAAAACCCAAATCTCCATCAGTACCATGTTTATTAACAAGTAGGTTTTCACATGCAAGGACACGGCCTAATGATGCATCTAGAAGGTAGAGAAGTCAATGGAATGAAAGAAGACTAATCTGCAAGTGCTGTGAGAATAAGAAGACAGATAAGCACAAGTACAGGACACATTCAAGTGTAGAGCTGCATGGTTTGTGCAGGAGTGAATATGCAAAGTATCCAAGTCAAAATGTTCGATAAGTAACGATGCATCAGGTTGACAATGCTGTTCTCTTTCTGCCACAGTTGTCAAGCGGGAACCCTGTATATGAGAACTTTTACAGACAGGTAAGAGGATTAGCCAAAGGGCATTACTGCTACATCATAACGCTGTATGTGAAACAAGGACAGCTGATGAGTGTGGGAGAGGAAATAAAAGATTGAAATATATGACAATGCTTGTCCTCCAAGGTGGATCCAGGGAATACAGGGAGAGTGGGACCAACAGAAGCTGCCCTGTTCCTAAAAAAGTCCGGACTGCCTGACATTACACTGGGAAAGGTAGGTTGTTTGCTTGTTTTCCGTGGACTTACAAGGGTGGAGAGGTATGCCTGTTTCATGCAGCATGTGGACATGTATTATTCTTAGTGCAGTCGTGGATTGTCAGTTGACTGAAGGTCTGTGGTTGTGTGAGTCTGTCTGCCGACAACGGTCATGCCACAGGGCAGTGTGTCTGACTGCTGTTCTGAAATCTTTGCAACCCCAATATGCATGGGACAACCAGTATTTGGGATTCGTGAGCACAAGCAAGATAAAGCTGCGTCAGTGTTTTTATGAGCAGTCAATGCAATGACTGTTATCTACAATTGTCACTTGGAGTGACAAATCCAGAGAATTGTCACAGTCTCTGCAGTTCTCAATAAAGAGCAGTTTAGCATCTTTCAGTTCATCGTTTGGATTTTTATGGCCCCTATAAATGCTCAAATAAATCCACTGTGCAGCACTTACCTGCACCAAACTGATGAGTGATAATGAGTGGGATAACACATTGTTTGCTATTCAATCTGGCAAAATAAATCAATTATAGCAGCTTTAAACCTGTGAAAACTTTCTGTTTAATTAAAGTTGACATTAAAGAAGTTAATGGTTCAAGTTTTCTTAAAGGATATTGAGCCAGACCCTGATGCATGTGCTTGTGATCATTTTGGTTAGCACGCGACAGCCCTAAATAATATCAGCACTCATTGAGTGTTGTAAAAATTAAGGTGAATGTTTTATTTAACAAAAGTGTGCCATTTTTAATGAGGTTAGTGGAGGCCATGCTTTTATCAGAGGGGGCCCGTCCGAGATGCTGCATGAAAACCTTATCCCCATTGTGCAGAATTAGTGGTCATAATAATTAGTGAGTTGACAGGGAGGACCTTGATGAAATAATGCATTGAAATTACAGTATGTTTCAAGCAGTACTTACACATGACGTTTAGAATTATGTTCTACTTTTTCCCACTCTCCTACTACTCCATATACTTGTGGAAAGCCCTTACCCTTTAAACACTTCCTTCCATTCTGCTTGAATCATCATTTGTTCTTGTCACATCTTCCATTTCCTCAGGAGCTTGACATGTTCTTATCTTGCTGGCCTCATTTAAAAAAAAATGGCAGGGGGATGTCTGCATCGATGTGACATAGGACAGACACACTTTTAAGGTCCGGTCGTCTGAAAACCTTATTTTGTAAATTGCAGCACACTTTTAATAAGTCTGGAATACTTTTTTAAAGCACAAATTATGAGGCTATTGAATAAAGTGATAAACAATAATCATGTAATATGAAATTCTGTGATGCATCGATAATCGTTTATAATCAATTTGTAGCCCTCTGAATCAGAATCAAATCATGAGTTACCTAGGGATTCCTACCCCTAATGAAAATAAAGGTATAATTATGGACATATTGATTGTTCATATTTTCATGTAATTAGATCTGATACTGCTTACCCATCTCTGACCATGAACCGGATGCATGCATGGTCACCTCCCTACTGATTTTCTTCGCGATGACTCAGTTTTGCAGTATGGACAACTTTAAGAGTCCTGGTGCTTCAAGTCATCAAAACAATTGAGACCTCTGTGCTCCAGGGAGCACTCAGAGCTTTAGAAATGTTTTACCATTCCACATCGCATCCAACTGGAGCCATCTGAAATTTCCTCCAAGTTCAAAAATGGTTCTGTATAATCTAACACTTTACTTACTTTATATTCTAAAACTTTACAAGAAAAAAAAAGACCAGGGCTGTGAAGCAGCACTGTACAGGCCCGAGCACTTGCGAATTCGGGACCTGATGCAGCCGCGGGGGATGGTGGTCGGGGACCAGGCAAAACGGCTCCGTGTTGCCTGCATTTTGCACACCACAGGAAGGAAAAACACTTCACTTCCTGTGTCCGTCACTCAAAGCTAAACCACATCCACTAATCACGCATTACGGTCCACAACATCAAATGCAGAGCACATGGTAAAAAATGTATTGTAATTCGAATTAAAGTTGTAAAACAAGGCTTACTTCCTGTTGCCAGTAGGTGGCGCTATCACTATCGACAGAGTTATAGATCTTTTCAGGTAGGGGCTCTGATGAAGTGTGAGCAATTTGGGACCGACTGGACAATGTACAGTGAAGTTTAAAAACCTTCCTGTTTCACAGTAAATCAATAGGTGGCGCTATGACCCTGAGTTAATTTTGACAAATGGAGCTGTTCAGGCCGTGTCTCTGATCTTAGGTTTTAATGTTGGTGCCGATTGGACAATGCACAGTGGTGTTAAAAACAACTTAATTTTTACCTTGTCAGTAGGTGGCGCTATGACCCTGAGTTAATATTGCTGGAGCTGTTCAGACGTGGACTCTGATCATGGGGCAGAATTTTGGGGCTCATAGGACAATGCACTATGGAGTTATGACACGCCCATTTCAAATTACTCTAGAATACTTACATTTTTACCACTTTTGAATTTTCTGCAAAGTTTGGAGTATGTTTAAGCCCTCAAACAGGAAATTCATTTGCCTGAAAAATAATAATAAAAAGGAAAATCATGTCAATTTCAATAGGACCTTTGCACTGTCAGTGCTTGGGCCCTAAAGAGTGAGGTATTTTGATTTAAATGTTTCATCCATCCATCAATTGTCTGGGGAGCTGGAGCCAATCCCAGCTGACATGAGGCAGGGTACACCCTGTACAGGTCGCCAGATAGTGTATAGTATATAAAATGTTTTAAAAAAATAAATTAATGTTTTCACATGGACTAAGATTGGAAAATTAATTTTTCTGCATTGTGTCTGTAACGCTGTGTTTTTGTGTCTAATTTTTCAGATTTGGGATTTGGCAGATCCTGATGGAAAAGGCTATCTGGACAAACAGGTGGGAAACAGATTTCTCACGCAGTGCTCAGCTTTGATGCGATGCTGTTCGCACAGAAAAATAAACAAAAGTTCACTTAATTAAATTATTGCTACTCTGATCGACAGAAAAACCAATGACAAACAATGACGCAGTGAAACCAAATGTCTACAAGTGAATCTAAGAAAATGACCTTATATGTTGAGGTCAAACAAAAACTTAGAGAATATATGTACTTTTCTTAAATAAGAATATTCTCCTATAGTTTTTCTCATTCCTGAAGTAAATGGTGTTTTAATGGGTACCACTGTGTGTTGTCTCTTTCAGGGGTTTTACGTCGCTCTGCGGCTGGTGGCGTGTGCTCAGAGTGGACAGGAAGTCAGTCTGTCCAGCCTCAACCTCACTATCCCTCCTCCCAAATTTGTGAGTGTCACTTCCCTCATTAAAGCTATTGGGTTTTCAGGGTATTGACATTTTCATGGAGTTAAACCTGAACACATTTTTAGAATAGAATAGTTTGTCTTTTTCATGTCATTATGTTCCTAAGCCTGGTATCGGATGTTCACTATGATCAGCATGAGAGAAATGTATGTGTGTTTTAATACTGGAAATGGGTTGTGTGACAGTGTTATTACAGCCATCTCTTTTTGTCTGATTTCAGAAAGACACCAGTAGTCCATCTCTGAGCAGCACAGCTTCTGCTTCCACCGAATTACATTGGGCTGTCAGGGTGTGTTCAGACACACACACACACACACACACACACACACNCACACACACACACACACACACACACACACACACACACACACGTAGACACACGTAGACACACGTAGACACACAGGCAGAAGAATCTTGGTATTTTTCAAGCAGAGGCACTGTTAATCACACAGTAAACTTTTGTCACTACATCATTTTAACTCAAATATCAATATTAATATCTGCCTCAAAAATCCATTGTCATTTTGTTGCTCTGTCATTGCAGTTTAGTCAATCATTCAGTTTGTGAATAAGCATGGGCTCTGAACTTTACTGAACTGGTTTGTTTGTGTTTCTTTTGTAGCCAGAGGAGAAGAGTAAATTTGATGGGATCTTTGAAAGTTTGGCTCCAGTCAATGGTCTTCTGTCAGGAGAGAAAGTCAAACCAGTCCTCATCAACTCCAAGCTACCTCTGGATGTCCTTGGGAAGGTATTTAATTCAGTTGTGATTTCTTACAATAGATCTATCTTGAGGCTTGTTGGTTTCTTTTGTACAGATTAAGTTACTCAGGGCAGAACATAAACATGAACTAACCTTGCAATGAATTGTTAGAAACATTGGATGAATAGTAATGAAAATTAATATGTAATGTTAGAGTTCCTTCTTTCCATAGATCCATATTGTGCTTACTTCCTGCTGTTAGGTTTGGGACCTGAGTGACATAGATAAAGATGGCCATCTGGACAAAGATGAGTTTGCAGTGGTGAGTGTTATCATCATCTTCATTGTGACTGTATGTGTTTTGGGTCTCTACAGACTGAACAAACATAATTCAACAACCAATCCTCCTAATGTATGGATTAATCAATGTGTTGAATGGGGACACTAACATTTTGGAACTGATCGTGTCTTAATATACATATTGCATTTGTCTGCACTTCAATGAAGACCAGGTCACATCTTAATGTAGACTAATGTAGAAAATAAAGTAAATCCAAAGATTTCACTGACTTATTTCTTGCCACTGTAGGCTGTGACATTTAAACAATGCTCAAGTTATACTGAGGGATCTAATATGTGAGAAGCAAATATTCATCACACCACTACAAGACCACCATGAGCCTCAGCCATTTAAATAAACTGTGCAGGTTCTTAAAAAGTCTAAAAAAAAAAAAAAAAAAAAGCAGTGTTTTCTCTAGAAGTAATTCAATCTATGGTGTTAACGGCTGTGCACATGTGTGCACACAAAGGTCCCTCTTTCGACAACAGATCTAAGTGACAGGTTCACAGACCAAAGAGTGAAAGATAAGTTCACAGACAGAACTGCATTATTGCCACAACTGCAGCTGAAACTATGAGGTGGGAAAATTTAAATATGGGTGTAAAATTTGAATATGGGTGTAATTAATTTTTTGCTGCCACAATCTAGATAAATAATAGGAAACACTGGTTGACTGTCATTTAACTCTACTTCCATCACACTGTAATTTATTTTTTTAATTGTAATGTCTGCTTTTGTTGTAGTTATTTCTGAATGTTACAGTTATAAGCAAAATAAATCTACAAGCACAACCAGCATGGAATTGATTAGTGATCATCTACAAACATCCTGTTCAGAATGTATCAGTACACTCTGCTTGGCTGAGAGAAAGAATCTGGATACCTACTGTCTCTGCCTGTAGTTTGAGAGATAATGTGGTGTGTCAGGGGTTAGTGTTGAGGCTGCCCACTGCAGCTACACTGCCCTGTCTTTATCTGACAGAAGTAGAACTGCTGTGGTCCCATCCACTTTAAGGTTTGATGTGTTGTGCATTCATATTCTCTGCTATGTACCACTATTGGAATGCATTAGGCCAGTGCTGGCAGCGAGACAAGAAGGGCCACTTCTTCCTCTTTGTTCATTTGGCATCAAATATAACCATGGATCTAATTTCTTCTCCAGAATGAATAACAGCTGAATTTATTGATCTAGTCCTCAACCATTTATCCTTTCTTTTGCTGCCATATGATTAGCTTTTAGATTACATGTGCAAGTGTACAAGTAAACATAATGAAGTGTCCACTCACTGGATTTTCTTATCTGAAACTGATACAGTATCTTTAACAAGCAGCCATGTCGTGACTGTGTAAAAACAATGAAGTATTTTAATGAATTGGAGAAAATAATCTTAAATATCTGCAGTATTTTGTAATTGTGGTCTGGATTAATATTGGTTATAGGAAGCTGGTTATTTTTATTTCTTTATGTGACTGGGGCCAAATAATTAACTTACCATGACTCCAAACTCCCCAGGCCATGCACCTTGTGTACAGGGCCCTGGAGAAGGAGCCTGTTCCTGCACTCCTCCCTTCTTCCCTCATCCCTCTATCCAAGAGGAAGAAGAGTCTGGGCTCAGTGGCCAGTTCTGTCCCTGGACTACCTGCCAGCCCTCCACCACCAAAAGATTCACTACGCTCCACACCCTCCCATGGCAGCATGAACTCACTCAACAGCACCGGCAGCCTTTCCCCCAAACACACACTCAAGTCTGGACAGGTAATGCCACACTGATATACACAGATACAGTAGATAACTAAATCAGTTAACAGGATAAATCATGCTGGAGAAAAATGATCGTTAAACATTAAATGCATCAAGGTGAAAGAAATCAAAATAATCAATAATAATAAGTGAAATAGATGAACATCAGACAATAATCAAAGAACTATGTGGGTTGTGTTATAATTATTATATTTCTTCTATCTTGTACGAAACAATTATACAAACAAAAAGCATATTGGATTAGCATCAGTGACATCAAATGATCTGTATTTTAAGGCAAATATTTGGTTTGAAAAAAAAACTTTTTAAAATATTTGAAATCAAAGCTGTAGCCTGAAAAATCTGGTATGAGCAACTTGATCCAAATACTGTAGAGGTCCTGCTTAAGGATTATTAACTTAATTAATTAATTCAATTTTTGCTTTATGTTAATGAAAAAAAGAAGTAGTAATGCACCTCTTTCCCTGTTAAAACGATTTTTTAGTAGTTTTTCCTTACTCTTGGAGAGGGTTAAGGGCAGAGAATGTTATGCAGAATCTAATATTGTACTTAAAATAACAAATGGAGAGCATCTGATAGAAGAGTCAGATTTTAATGAAAAAATAAATCAATTCAAGCTGCAGTGTGATTTTTGATTATTTATTATTGATGAGGCTTGTTTGTTGTTTTTATATACAGATTTGTTTTTTCCTTTTCTTAGAATAAAATTTTTAAACCTGTTATTTTTTTACCACTGCGTTGCCTTGACACTTAAAAGCTGTGATTATCCCTGCTACAAAAAGACATTGATCGTTTTTGTTCACAAAAAGAAAGGCCACTTTGCCCCCAGGTCTTAGTAGAGCTCTGTATGAGGCCAATACTGGATAGATTCTATGTGATCACAGCAACTTACAACACAAGCATCTCTCCCTCTGTCTTAGCATATGGTGAACTGGGTGGTGCCAGTGTCAGACCGTGGTCGCTATGACGATATCTTCCTGAAGACTGATGCTGACTTGGATGGTTTTGTCAGTGGACTGGAAGTAAAGGACATCTTCATGCATTCTGGACTTTCTCAGAATCTCCTTGCCCACATATGGTAAAGTTATATGCTTGAAAGTTAGTATATGCCTTATTTTCTTTCTTGGTTGAATCTATATTACTTTTATTTTATTTGTACCACTTTCCACTCAAGTCGGCTTTATAAATATGTAATGTCCTGATATATTTGCTTTGAATTTAAACAGGTCAGAGGTCAAATTTATCACCTCATCATGGTTTATGATAAATCTCTCATCTATCAGCTAATCAAGTGCTTAATGGAAACATGTTAACAGACCAGTGGTTCTAAATGTGCCAAAGGTTGTTGTCAACAAAGGACTTATAGGTTTCATTTATACACACTGGATATTTATTCAAATAAATGCAAGCCACAGTTGCTTTGACTTATGCTTTGCAACATATTTCAGGCATCTGTCTGCATCTTTATTCATTTTTATTCATTCAAATGTAGAAAACGTTGAATGATTTCCAGATTTTTCTTTCGATTTGTATTTGTCTGGTCTTTCTCTACAGTGTGGTCAGTCTGCTCATTCAAAGTAAATTTTCCAAGGATGTCTGTTGACAGTCTGCTCTTTCTTCCAGGGCTTTGGCAGACACAAGGCAGATAGGCAAGCTGACCAGGGAACAGTTTGCTCTTGCTATGCATCTCATCCAGCAGAAAGTCAGCAAGGGTATAGACCCTCCACAGGCCCTGACTACGGAAATGATACCTCCCTCTGAGAGAGGCACTCCAGTACCAGTAAGTCTGTCACGCATGCACACACTCTCTACATGGTTCTGGCAGCACAATACATTAGCCTACAGTTACACAGTATAATGCCTAAAACTAGTGTGTTAATGTGTTAAGTGTTAAATTATTTTAGTTGGGCTGGCTGTTATTAAAAAAAAAATTGTTTCATGTAGATTTGTTTAGAGTTTTGCATTTATGCATCTTTGTATATAGTTTAAACTGTTAACAGTTGCTGTTCAATTTCAACTAAACGTTTGCCTTAGCAATACAAATAATCATCTAGATTTTCTGTTAACATTTAATCTCCACTATAAAGCATATCATGGCATCTTTAATCAGATTAATTTACCATGTTGTAAGAATTGTCTCTGCTGACATTGGATGTTGCTGTTTTTATTATCACTGACAGTAACTGAGTCATTTCTGTCTATGGCTGCAGAGTATGTCAGGATACATGACCCCAGTGGGATCAGAGATGGCTGCTCTGTCTGATATGAGAAGGGTGAGTCGATACTTGTTCTTAACTCCTCATCTTTCTCCTGCCCTCTGCGTATTGGGACTTAAACGAATGCAGATTTGTCTGCTACACATCCTGTTTCTTGTGCTTTACCAATTTCTCAATGTGCCAGATCTGCTTTATTCGGTGGAAGATAAGTTCAAGATGTTACCCAAGTAGACATGTCCTTTCCTGTCTTATTCTAACTCTTTTGCTACTGATGTGTCTACCTCTCTGCTCTTCCTCCTCTCTCAGGCTTTAATGTTCAAGTTGTGGGTAGGTAACATGTACCTACAGTGTATAAACCTAAATGCTTTCAGTGGCGGCTATTCATGCTGATTACTGGAAAGCATTTGCAAAATGTTTTTTATTTCCATCCCAACAAATTGCAGTGACAGTGTCTCACTATGTCAACTGTCCACTGATCAAGGGAAGATCCAAGATCACATTTAGCTGATAATCATATACTTTACTTCACCTTCAGTTGTGTTTTTTGATAGAGCAGGTGCAGTCTGTGGCTCAGATTTAAGTAACCAAAGCCAGACAGATTAGGAGCATCCTGTGTAGTTACAGTGAATGCAGGGGGACTCCAGCTTTTAGTTTTGTTTTCAAGATGTGTATCTACACTATTGGAATATCTATTAAGTCATGAAGAAATGCTAGTGGGGAAAAATAATGATTTGTTAACCCTAATGAAAACTTGAATGTTCTCAAAGGGGGATTCATAAAACTACACAATCCTGAATCTTTCCTATCCATGGCAGTGGTGGCGACACTCCCCGACATGTTGGTCATTGGCCCAGCCCCCACCTCCGATTCAACCTCTGTGGTGCTCTATTTATTGACCACTGGTTTTTCTCCCATCCTCTCTTTACCTATTTCTCCTTCCTTTTGCCTTGTCTGCCATGGCTCAGTTGGTGCCATTTCATCATCCAACTGACTTCAACAAATATAGTTTACTTTGCCAACCTGCTGTCTTCTTTTTGTCCTGCTCCCTTCCTCCCCTGTCTGCTCACATATTGCTCTACAGGACAGCTCCAGCTCAGTGGGATCGGGGGAGTTCACTGGCATCAAGGAGTTGGATGACATCAGCCAGGAAATAACCCAGTTGCAGAGGTAACAAATGACAGCAGCTAAATAACATGGCAGCAATGGAATGTAAATGCTTTTACTTCAACATTTATTTTTAAATCTGCATAGAAAATGTAAAGATATATTACACTGAAACAGTTACATTTAAAGCATTACAATAAAACTCTTGTTATTGCTAGTTTGATTTATCTAAATCATTATCTTGTAGCAACAGTGCAACCATTTGCAAATACTTGTCATTTTGTAGTTCCTGAATCTGAACTACAAAAAAACAAAATCAAATGAACAAGTTTTAATAGATAAAATATCGTTATTTTTTCTGCATTTTTCAACAACACGATTAAAGGATAAAAAAACGTAGAATATGTTGACACCTGGTCAGATTTTTATTGGTGTTGCCCTTGGTGCATCATAAGTGGACATTTAGGTTACATCCTCATTACTTTGTTTTAGATTTGAAAGGCAGCACTTCTCTTCTTGGAAACACTGCAGGGCCTGTTCAAGTTTGAATACTCCATTGTTGTGTTTTAGTCTGAACAGACATAATCTGAGACTTTTGTATACCAAGGCGTAGTCACCTGCAAAGGTTTCCTGATTGATAGTTATCAGTTAAGACTTAACTACCACTGGCGAATACAATGCATAACACCTACTGTGTACTCTTGTTGTTGGTCAAAGAAAATAGGTCCATCATCTTATTTTTTACCATTGCTGTTCTGTTCTTTATTTGTACTTTTTTCTGTAACTAAGCCACCAAACAGACAATCTGCTTCAATGTTAACACCGACATGCACATGACAAGAATGCTCATGTGATATGCTTTTTCAGGTGTGTTAGTAGGGAGGTAGATTATTATTTCTGATACTTGTCTGGCCGGAGATTGGTTTAGTTTCAAAATTGAAATACAGTGTGAATGTAGCCTTATTGGTGATTCTTATTGTTCTTACATTTAAAAAAAGGAAAGCTTCCCATGTTTGTTACATCAGCCAATCATTTAAAGCCATTAATACATATGACACAGTACTAAATGGTATACTTAATACTTAAAAATGTTGTTTATTGAAATCTCACAATGTTCCGTCCCAGTACTCAGACTAAAAGTCCTGAGTGCTTAAGTTCTCATTCCAACAAGTAGTGTCCCACACTTAACCCCCACTTGATGTGCATACATCCTAATACTGCTTCACAACTTTACTACAGCCTATTACAGCACAGCAGTCATTGGCTATTATGCACCTGTTAGCTGGTTGTCAGACCAACAATAAAAATCATGAATAGATTTCCATCCTTCTTTAAAATTATTCATCATATAAGATATATGATTTTGTTATTTCACATACATTTTTGTTTAACTTTGAAGCACAGTAGACCTGCTGGGACAACTTGATTAAAATGCTTAATATTAAATGTATTAAAATATCATTTGAGTTAACTACTGTATAATGCTACATGGTTGGTCCTACTTACTTTTCATGGTGCTCAACCAGACAAAGCATCAGAGTCTGATTATGCCAAGTACCAAGTACCAATACCATGCCAAGTCAGGTATTAAGGCTCAGTGTTAGTTATGAATGGGTTTAAGTGGAATATCCTACATAAAAACACGCTGACATGCAGAGATAGACAGCATGAAACCCACAGTAACCTTGGCTCTGTTTATTCTTTATACACATCCATCCATCCATCCATCCATCCTCTTCCTTTGATGCGTGTATTTTATCAATTTTTTTTGTTCACCACTTACTCTCCATGCTGCGTCAGCACTCTTGCCTTTACCCAGTGGAATACTCTAAGGTAAAAACACAAGCTACTGAATATCCATGGACTGGCATACTGTCAAATCTGCTGTGACATCCACTTTGAGCAGTGGCTCTGAATGTCAGTGGTTATCGGTAGGCTTCACATCCCTGATTTGTTAATTTTTATCACTTTAATGTTTTAGAGTTTGTTAAAAGACAGGTGCACAGCTTTTAAGTATGTCTTAAGGTCAGCTGCCCATATGAACATTAAAAAGCTTTAAAAACATAAAGGGATATATTAGGACTAAAAGACTAGCCTTTTAATTTGCATAAAGTAGACCTCTTAACCCTCACATTTACCTAAGCTAAATGGTGCAATTTATGGTTACAGCCATTCTACTGTTTGTTTTTGTTTGAAAACATGCATTAACTCTGCTGCGGATGTGTCTGTCCATAATACTCCAGAGTTTAAGAGTAGTTTAAAAATGCTGCTGGCGCCGTTTTGGTTTGAAATCTCTTGAGCTTCAATATAGTGATGGATTTGAAAGAATTCCAGTTCAGTGTTTTGTTACTCTGGCATGTTGAATAGCAGTTATCTGATTTCTTGTCACTCATCATAATTTTGCTTGTTCACAGGGAGAAGTACACCCTTGAGCAGGACATCAGGGAGACAGAGGAGGCCATCAGATATAAGAGTGCAGAGGTGCAGGTGAGAGCAACTCAGTCAGCTATAGTGGGAACATGTACTGTAGCTTGGTTTAATGAAAATGGTAAATGGTTTGTAATTATATAGAGCTTTTCTAATCTTGATGACCACTCAAAGATCTTTACAGTACAGTTTTCCATTCACCCATTCACACTCGCATTCACACAGTGCATCTATTAGCAGCACTTTTTATTGTTCTATGAGGGTTCAGCATCTTGTCTTAGGACACTTCGGCATGTAGATGGGGATCGAGTTGTTTGTTTCCTTTGCCTTGCATATAAAATCGCATACTACATTTCTACACAGGACCAGTGGTTGTAGTGTGTTTCTAGTAAACTGGACAGCTTGGCTTGATCTGCCCATTTTTTTATATAGTGAACCCTCATCCTTGCCTGGCACTAGAAGACTGTCTTAATCCTTTTTCCAGGAGATGCAGAATGACCTGGACCGAGAGACAGCCAGCCTGCAAGAGCTCGATGCTCAGAAACAAGACGCCCAAGAACGGCTGGAGGAGATGGACCAGCAGAAACATAAGTTAGAAGACATGCTGAATGAAGTCCGAATTAAATGCCAGGAAGAGTCTCAGATGGTGAGGATGTAAACAAAGCCCAAGTTTGGACCAAGTTTGGACCTCTGTGATGCTGTGCACAGCATCATAACAAAAGTTCATTTATGAAATGGATAATATATTATTGTTAATGTTAATGTTTTGAATGAGGTTTTCTTTATCTGTTCAGCCAAATACCAGAATTATCTAGAGGCACATGAGATGGTGCAGAAGGGAGGAAATCAAATATCTGAGCCATGTAGTGGCAGCATATGATTTAAATGATTGGATATTGGTTAAATCCCCATCCCACATCTTCATTGCTTGATTCCCTGCTGCATCCAGATCTCCACGCTCCAGAGTCAGATCCACTCCCAGGAGTCAGACTTGCAGAGCCAGGAGGAAGAACTGAGCCGGGCAAAGGCCGACCTGGGCCGATTGCAACAGGAGGAGAAACAGCTGGAGCAGAGCCTGGCTGCTGGTAAGATCCAGCTGGAGACCATCATCAAGTCCCTTAAGGCCACGCAGGATGAAATCAACCAGGTAGGACACAAAGCCTGTGTGTACACGGATCTCTGTTATCTGTCAACAGGGGGCGCCATTTCATTAAATAACCTAGTTTGTTTTTACCACTGAAGACAGTATTTTGTCCTGTTGTATGCTAGAGGATATGTGTGCTAATGTGTGTTCATGTCATTAGGACCTTCACCATAATCTCTAACCTAGGACCAGGAGTTCTCATGGGGACCAAAGTCGGATTAGATAGAGTAGAAGCATGGAGTGGTCAAGCTATCAACCATTATGGATATGGTTTTGTTTAGGCTGTCCATAATGACTGGAAGTAAATGCAAACAAATGCAGTGTCCTTATAAGGATAGCTGTGCAAATGTGTGTGTGTGTGTGTGTGTGTGTTTGTTTTTCATGTAGTCGCAGCTGCTGCTGTGTATCATCTGTTTCCCACCAGCTGCTTATTGTACACACACCTCACTAAATCTGCTGCATCTTACATACACAGCTTGAATTTCGACACATGACTTTCAATTGTTGCATGATTTAGTCTCCATTCTCAGGCCATTACATCCATTATTATCAGGGCTATAGGATTTATACTCTCCTGAAAGTAACTCCTGAGTCAGGAGATCACATGGAGAGTTGACAAGTATCCACAGTTGATCGTTTCCTCATGCTCTCCTGGAATTATATCCAGTCTTAGTGCTTCTGGGAACAGTCATTTTGATTTTCATGACATGGTCCACCCAGACATTTTTATTATTCATAAAGCCCCACATAAAATCTGCCACCCAGGGGTGTTCAAACAGTTCAGACTGCTAAAGTGCATGTTATGTACCAAAAACTTCACAGGTCTGAATCCATGACCTATCTTGTATTACATGCTAGGAGGAAATGCCCCAATGCCCAACAATTTATCTACTGAGAATTTAGATAGGACTCAGAGGTGTCTGTAAAAAGTTGGGATTCCTTTTTCCTAACAGAGAACAGCTGCTCTGCTCAGTTTGGATTCATGTGAGTTACAATTGTCTCCAATAGTGACAAGTTTTCCTGCATTATGCAGGTAATGTGCATTATGCACCTGTCTGTTCATGCTTAGCATCTTTCAAACTGCGGTATCACCTTCCCCAAGGGAGGAGAGAATTCATTGTGCAGGCTTTGCATATCCTACACCTGGGTGTGATTTGAGCTGGAAACATCTTCTCTAAACAGTGTCCTCATTGCTTAATATTTATCTGGACCATTTGTCCAGTAGATCACAACAGGGGACCAATCACAAATAGGAAGGTGTGACATTCGAAGAACTTTGATGCAGAATGAGATTAACTGAAGTTCTTCATGAGGTAAACTGCTTTAAAGAATAGATGTAGTACTGCGATAGTATGGGATATCCAAGACTTTGTACAGAGCAAGTTAAAGTCACTGAAACATAATAATGATAATAAAACATATTTGAATACAGTTTACTAATTTGTGTGGTGGTTGTCATTTTCTCATTAAAGTTAATCATTTCTTATTAATGTGTGTGTCATGCAGGCTCGCAGTAAATTGTCACAGATCCAGGACAGCCAACAGGAAGTGTCTAAAAGCATTGAACAGTACAACAGCACCTTGAATGGAACCCATGGAGGCAGTATGACTAACCTGGCTGACATGAGTGAGGGCTTCAGTGACAGAGAAAATGGAGGATTCCCATCCATGGTGAGACCAGCACAGGTCAGGATCTCTATTGAACTCTGCCTCTTCATTCCAGTGTGACTCATAAAAAAAAATTCTTACTCTTATTTACACATTTCTCACACAATTATTAACAGTACAAGCAGTTGACAGCTGGATAATTATTCTTCAGTTTCTTTAATCGCAGGCCTTTTATGCACGTAGAAGAGACATTATCCTGCCATATAATACGTATTGACCTTGTCGTTTTACTTCCATACACCCTCCTCAAAATTCTAGTCTAGAAATATCCCACAGCCATACAGTATGTTCCTATTTCTGTTTTTATTGTTTATAGTTCTTCATACTCTCCTTGCTCCTCCTAATAATGGTGACTTATTATCATCAAGAAAAGAGCTTACTAACAGTTTACAAACTGCAGCATGCCAAATCCGTAGCTGCATTTTCGGTTATTTGAACAGTCTTGCTAAAACACTGGTTCTTATTTCTCTCCCCGATCTACTGTTCCCTGCAGATTTGTCTTTAACAGTTCCCCTCTGCTGCCGTGCTGTAATTCCACAGTTTAGCTCTGTTCCTATTCACTTTACTCATAATAACATATTACCTTGGCTCAGCCATTCTCACAGCTGGCAAGCTGCTTTCCTTCTTATTCAAGATTTCCACTCGAAACTAAACTTGCACACATCTTGCTCTAGTTCCTGACTTCTTTTGGTTATGAGGTGTCAATTTAATAACAAAAGGCACATGGTAGCTTTTATTAAGTGGAAATAATGTAAAACAGCATAGTGTGTGTGTGTGTGTGTGTGTGTGTGTGTGTGTGTGTTTGCTTGTCTTTCTTTAGTTATTAGGGCCAAATCAATACCATCATTGTGAGGACATTTCAACATTGTGATGCAGTTTTGGCCAGTCCTCTCAAATTCAAAGGGTTGTTTCAGTTTTAAGACTTGTGTGTGTGCATCCCTTGTAATAAGGACAGGGATATATTGGTTTTTTAAAACTGAAATGGGGGCACATGGACATCCATCGATTATCTATACTGCTTATCCTTTGATGGTCGCAACATACAGAGATAAACAGCCATTCACACACACATCTACGCTAAAGGTCAATTTAGAGTTTTCAATTAACTTAATCCCAATCAGCATGTCTTTGGACAGTGGAAGGAAGCCAGAGTACCCAGGGAAAACCCACAAAGACATGGGGAATGTCTGTTTGCAAACTCTACACACAAAGACCCCAGCTGAACCAAAACTCAAACCAAGAACTTTCTTTCTGTGCTGCAAGGTGAGAAATTGGAAAGGTAAAGGAAATGGAGTAAGATGCTGGTCAGAGGTGGAGATGGGATTGATATAATTAATGTGAAATGGGAATGATATAATTAATGTCGCTCTAGAATTCTAACGTCAATGCAGCCCAAAATTCAATGTCAATATATTGTCAAAAGAGAGATTGTGTTTTTAGTTATGTCGAATACAACAAGAAGTATACTTACACAAGTTGCAGTGTAGGTGTTGAGCTAAGGAAATTTTGTGACTGGACTTCTTCCTCTGTTTGTTTTCTTGTTTTGCTCCTTACAACAGGAGGATCCTTTCAAAGTGAAGCCATCAGTGTTCAACAGCCAGCCTCAGGAGCTTCCCACTGACCCCTTCCACTCTGAAGACCCCTTCATAACAGACCCATTTAAAGGTTCTCACCCCTTTTTACCTCTACACATTTTCCTATCTATTAATCAGTGTTTGTCTGTCCGTATTCCTCAAGGTATTTATTTCTCATTTTCTGCCATACATCAATTATCCATTTACTTTGCCTCTCCATTTTCCTCAACCCCCTTTTTTTATGTACTTCTCCACTTGTGTCTTCTCTTAGCTGACTGTGTTTACTGTTAATCTTAGCCTTCTTTTATTCCAGACTGCTTTTATTGTTTTCAGCTCGAGTTGCTCTCTGACTATCTTATATGACTCTCTTCCTCTTTTTTTCCTCCTCCTTCCCCCTCTCTGCTTGATTCCTTTCCTATAGGTGACCCTTTCCAAAATGACCCTTTTGCAAAGCAGCCACCAACGTCCACAGGTATTTACTTGGGATAAAGAAGCTGAAAAAGTTAAAACACACAAAGTATCCAGACCTTTAATTCAGTACTGTAGAAATCTGTTGGCAATAGTTACAACGTTAAGTCTTGGATAAGTCTCTACCAGTTTTCCACATCTGGAATTAGTTGCTAATTTTCATCACAACCTCTGTCACACTGGATGTGAAGAGTCTGTGAACTGCCATCTTTAGGTCTCCTCCCAGATTGTCTTGGACGTTTGCTTCAAGTCATTGCTGTGCTCAACGGTCAGCCGTCAGTCAGTTGTAGTGTTCGATCCAAACTGTTTTTTCTCATCAGATTGAAGGATATTTTCCCTAAAGCTCTCAGAGTTCTTTAGATGCTGTGTGACAAACTCCAAGTGGTTGGCCTCAAACTTTACGCTTCGCCAAACAACACTTATAAAGGCATGGTTGGCAACTGAGATGCTGACGGTTGTTTTTTTGCTCACCTTTCTGACCATGGTCCTTCTTGCCTGGTTTACTCAGTATGTCCTGTCTGCCAAACACAGCTCAGTGTTCCCTCACATCGTATACGATTTTGTGTGCTTTTGCCTTAAAGGGGTAGTTCACCGAGAAGTTAAATCAACTCATAATCGATTCACAACTATGCCGATGGAGGGGTGGGTGAAGAGTTTGAGTCCACAAAATACTTTAGGAGTCTCAGGGGTAAACAGTGTTGCTTCGCAATCCAATACAAGTGAAGTAACTGGTGACTCCTTCTTCAAACGTTGAACAGCAACAGAAACAAAACATAAAATGCCTCTATTCTGCTCCTGTGGTGCCATCCAAGCCCTGACGTTAAAAAATGCCTGTGCATGTGTATTTTTCCCACTGTTGAATGAATACATTTAATAGGAGTTTTCTCAACCACTCTGCACATTTGTGATTGTAAAGGGAATTAAAGCAATTCATACAGATATTCACAAAATGTGTTATTTTTATAGCTTATGTTATGACACTGCTTATTTTTTGAGTTAAAGTCTCATTAAGTTAAAGTCTCAACCCTCAAGCAATGGTCATGTTCATATCAAAGATTGACCTATGCTTGTGGGGACAGCTTGTCCTCTTTTGAAGTCATGTAAAACAGCAGTGTTTTTAACTGTGACTTGTGTAACACTTCCCTCTTCGAAAAGTGTGTAGTTTCACTTCTCTGCCGAGTAGATCAGAGATAGAATCAGACTTGTTGCACAGCAGCGAACCTCACACCCAGATACACTGAACACACTAACTTCTCAGGCTCATTCCCACAGTAGACAACTTGTACTACTTGGCAACTTACTGGGGTTTTATTCATGTGTCAAACTGTCCTTTTTTTAGTTTTTTCAACAATGTTATTTTTGAATAGTTTTTCCTCACCAATAGCCAATGTTAACTACCCATTAACATTAACCAACAAGATTGAATTGTCCTATTTAGAATGGACGAGTGTCTGTGACACAATAAAAATGCCATTGCAACAACATTTTAAATACGAAAGGGTTCATTTTTACCCACGTGTACAGCAGCATAAACAATACCACATGATAATTCATGGATCATCACACACTTGCAGTGCTACTGTGAACAGAGTAAATTCGATTGATGCAGACCTACACAGTGTTTCCTATTACTTACCTAGACTGGCCTGACATAGACTAATTTGTCCTGCCACAGTTTCATAACAAACCAATTTTTTTTAAATACTTTTCGCAATACCTCGTGGTTTGCTCCTGGCTGTCTCTTGCTTACACTCTCTTTATCTCCATCTCCCTCTCTGTCTCTCCCCCTCATTCTCTCTCCATCAACAGCAATCTTGCCGAATCACCAGGGCCATCTATATACACTGCCTGGTCAAAAAAAAAAGTCGCCACCAAACAAAAGGTCACACACTCTAATATTTTGTCGGACTGCCTTTAGCTTTGATTGCAGCACGCGTTCGCTGTGGCATTGTTTCGATAAGCTTCCGCAGTGTCGCTGGATTTATTTCTGTCCAGTGTTGCATTAATTTTTCACCAAGATCTTGTATTGATGATGGGAGAGTCAGACCTCTGCGCAAAGCCTTCTCCAGCACATCCCAAAGATTCACAATGGGGTTAAGGTCTGGAATCTGTAGTGGCCAATCCATGTGTGAAAATGATGTCTCATGCTCCCTTGAACCACTCTTTCACAATTTGAGCCCGATGAATCCTGGCATTGTCATCTTGGAATATGCCCGTGCCATCAGGGAAGAAAAAATCCATTGATGGAATAACCTGGTCATTCAGTATATTCAGGTAGTCAGCTGACCTCATTCTTTGGGCACATAATGTTGCTGAACCTAGACCAACTGCAACAACCCCAGATCATAGCACCGCCCCCACAGGCTTGTACAGTAAGCACTAGGCATGATGGGTGCATCACTTCATCTGCCTAAATCCAGGTGGCGACTTTTCTTTTGGCCAGGCAGTGTATGTTCTACCATCCCTGCAGGCAGGCAGACCTTGTGATAATGAGCTACAGCTGTGTGCATTGTGTGGGGGGCCTGCAGTTCTCCGCATGCAGGCAGACCTCACCCCTCCAATTTTGTGGGAAAGTATGTCCCATGAAACAGTGAAAATAACTGATGTTTACCATGGTTTCTGCTGCAGATCCATTTGGAGGTGACCCGTTCAAAGAGACAGATCCATTCAAAGCTTCATCAGAAGATTTTTTCAAGAAGACCACAAAGATGGACCCCTTCTCCACACCAGACCCCTTCAATAAAAGCGCCACGTTACCTTCCAAGGTACTTGTCAATCAAAATGTGGGTACATTTAGATTTTATATGAATTGTTAGTAACAAAATACTGTCAAAGTATAATATATGTGTATGGGTGTAACTTGAATTTGTTCTTTTGCTTCCTGAAGCAAGCCAGTCACTTCACAAGCAATGACCCATTCTCATCAAGTAACCCAAAGCCCAGAGGAGCAGGTATGATTTCATTTGTTTTTCTCCTACATGTGCAGTATTTGTGAACATCATGTACTTTTTATTCAAAACTGAAAGGAACATTTAAGTCGGTGTGCTCTCTAATATCATTGCCTATAAAACAGGCATGTTCAACAATATTGCCTACAGTGGCCTCATATAACCACAAGTATGAAAAGGATAGTACGTCAAACAAACAAGACAAACTGGTGAACACATTTTCCAACACTGTTTAGAGTTTATATTGAAGTCAGTTTTGCTCTATATTTCACTCCTTCTCTGGCAGCAATGTTTTTTAAACACACACGTACACAGACAAGAAATATACAAGTTAATTTTTAAGGATCATCATTATTTGGCACATATAAACATATCATCTTGAAATTTACCCCGACTTTCAAAAATCTGCATCCTGTACCTTTGAATTCCTTTTGGATCTGTAAAGTAAAACTTGTATTGACTAGTGTTGGACTCCTAGTTTAGAAGAAAAAGTGATTAAAAAAATACGTCTCCTGGCCATGTCTCACTTATGATTGGGATGTTTTTGCTTTTAGGTGTTTTTATCTAATCACATCCTGTTTGATCTTAGGTATATTCTCCACAATCCAAAGAAAGTAAATAAACTTTACTTGGCCTTAAAATGAAAACCATTTGTAGGAGGACCATTTTCTAACTTTGATAGACGGATCTCACTAAAATAAACACAAATGATAAAATATACATAAGCACTAGCAAAGCACATTAACAACTGTAACTCTCCATGAAAATCTTCATAGCCATGACCAGTCGAGTCAACCTGCTGGACAACCTCTGAACAGCTTTATTTTATGATGTATGCAATATATTTGCATCTCCATGTTTGTTAGTGTGATATTTCATACTTCACATATGCTGTAGATCTAAGTTGGCAGACAAACAAGTTGAGTGAATATAACTTTACAGTAAGCTTGTAATTATTGTCAGTCTTTATCAATGTGCTATTTGATAAAAAGTCAATGTGACTGTCACTTTCAGACCTATTTGGCGCATTGGACCCGTTTGGCAGCAGTTCATTCAGCAACAGTAGTAACAGCTCAGCTGGATTTGCAGACTTCAGCCATATGTCGAAGCCCAGGGACCCTTTTGAAGGCAGAGCCGGCTGGCTGCCAGACTACCAGAAGGTACCAGGGGCCAAACCTTTCCTGAAAACACATAGTCAGCAGGACTACAGGGGGGTTTACAGAAAAGTCTGAATTCTAAAAAGGCATAAATTATAAAGGGGCTATATTAATGATAATTGATTAATTATTTAATAGCTCTATACATGGAATAAATGTATCATTATTCTTTTAATTTGTGTATAGGCCAATACATTGACCAGTTTTTTCTTCACCATATTTAAACCTATTTAAAAATTTCAACTCAAACTCTATAACCTATATAATATCACTGCTCCTCTTATTCTTTCTTGCCAGTCAGTTTTTGTGGACGACCCATTCAGCAGGAAGAATGACACACCAGCTCTGCCACCAAAGAAAAGTGTTCCCCCAAGACCCAAGCCACCCAGTGGTGAGTGTAACAAACAAAGGCTTTGGAGAGTGGGTAAAAGCCAGACTGTAAGATAGTTCATCTTATGGCTGACAACGGAACCGTATTCCTGTTTGAGTTATTAAATGCTAACAAAAAAATGTGTCTAAGTTGGAAAAATTATATGTTCTTCTTTGACTGCTAGGTGTTGCACTGCAATAACATGTCATTTAGATAAGGCTTTATCCAAAGCGACTTCCATTTGCAAAGTGCATTCAACATCTATGAGGGGCCATTCGGGGTCCAGCATCTTGCCCAAGGACACTTCAGCATGGGCTGGGATTTGAGCAGCCGACCGTCTGGTTGGAGGGTTAGGATTAGACAACTGCTCTACCCCCTCAGTCACAGCCGCCCTAGTAGAGTAGACTAATCGAAGCATGTATATAATACTACTACCCAGATTCCTGGTTATTCCACACTTCTTCAGTTTTAGGTCAATGTTCTCTTGGGAACCTTCAATGCAACATAGAGGTTTTTGTAGCCTTCTCCATTGGTTATTGTAATTACTTCTTCAACTGTGCCTTGACACACCCTTATCTCTGAGCTTTGCAGGCTGTTCCTTCGATCTCATGGCTTGGTGTTTGTTCTGAGAAGAGAACAGTTCTTGAGTTTGTTAGACTTGATTGTGATGAGGGTGTAGCTGATTTCTATTGTCCCACAACAGCAGTTTATTGTAACCGTGCATCTGCAGATTTTTAGGAATTATAATAGCAGTGTTTCATTTCCAAGATTGAAGTAAGATAATCAAAGTCATCTACAGTGGCAAGAAAAAGAAGTTAACCCTTTGAAACGACCAGCATTTATGTATAAATTTGTCTAAAAGCATTGTTCAGGTTTCAAAATGAACTACAGACAATCTGTTTCAAGAAATAACTATTAAATTAATTTGGTCAATTGTTCTTGTGCATATTTGGTATATCATTCAAATATTCCCAGTTGTAGGCTACCAGGTTACCAGGTAACCAGGGCTGTAGTGGGAAAAAAAGGTGGGTAAGCTATAATTTTCAGGCAGCTCTCTCTTGCCCGCCATTATAAAGGTGGATAAACTTCAGTCACCCCTATACGAGACTATGTACAGATTTGCAGACTAGAACAACTGAAATCAAATTATATAGACCAATAAATTAGCATTTTACAATTATCATTCTGGTTATTATTGTTGTTGTTGTTTATTTGTACTGGTGTGGGGTAAACAACGATGGAATGTAACTGAGTACATTAACTCAGTGTGTTGCAACCTCATGTGTGTTGCAACTTCTTCATACATCTACTCCATAAGAGTTCAGAGGCAAATATTGTACTTTTTACTCCACTATTATTTTCTATCTAGCTACATTTGCTAGTTGCAATACAAATTAAGATTTTTGCATACGAAACCTTAAGAGACAACAGTAAAACCCTGCTTTTACATTCATGCATGTGTAATAATAACACAACAACATACACGGAGTGCATTCATTGTAAAAAATGGCCAAGTTAATGTCCAACCAGCCTCATTGGAAAAAGTTTTAAATGTTATTGTTAGCATTGAGCTCATCAAACTTCATGCAGGCATGTTGTTAATCTTAATAACTGATAAAAAAAAAAGTAACCTATAATGTTAGCCATGTTTTTTTGTCAGATATTTGAAAAAGTGTTGGATCTTCATCCCTGTTACTGTGCATTTAAATCTCCAGGGGAGTTTCTTGTGTTTACTATTATGTCGCAAACCAACATGACTACGCAGACAGACCTACACCTTCTCACATCAGAGGAACAGCTGATCAGTGTTTGGCTGTTAAAGGGTAAAAGTCCGCCGTATGTCTGTGTCCTGTTTCAATGAGCTGCTGCATCACATGAAACTGTGAATACAGCATACAGGTGGGACCCACAGAAACTCTGTCAGTTTACAAGAGACACTGGACTTTTAATCAAGGAATTCTGCAGGATAGTGTCAGGGTGTTGCAGCAGGAAAGAAGAAAGAAGTTCATGTGTTTGGCTCTAAGTTCCTCTCTTCTGTCCCATTATTTATGATACAGAAACAATTAATAGATCCTTAAAATATATTAGAAAATTGTTGGATTTAAGACACGCCTGCAGACTCAGTAGTTGTTGATGGGTACTTAAGAGAAGTCTGTTACAGCTGTGATGCCAGTCTATACAATCTTAGTCAGGCTCTTTTTAACGGTTAACTCCTGCGACTCACAGGACTAAGCTTCACATTTTGACATTGTTCACAAACTACTCTGTGTGAAGGCACACGGGAAGGTGATGTTTGAATAGTGATGATTTGTGGTTTGCAGACACACCCTAACTTGCTTCCTCTCTCTTTTGTGTGTGTGTATATGTCTGTGTGTGTGCATGCTTGCGTGCATACATGTGTTTGCGTGTTTATGAGGATAAGTAGTTCAGAGTAGGTCAGGCTGCAGGCTATAGCAGTGGCAAATGACAGCACTGTTACTAGCCGTTGTCTTCAAATTCATATATTAGAATGAGTTGTGAATGGGTCAAGACTGCAGCCTCCAGTAAATGCCTCAAATAATTGAGGACATGTATCTGTACTGTTTTCTGTAGATTACTGAATGTTCCGTCTTCTTGTAGACATTAAAATTAGATACCAGAGGATTATTTTAAAACAGGGTGGGGCTCATGGTTGTGGTTTCGGTTTGTGTGTGTTTGTGTGTGCGTGCATGCGCCCCACTAAGAGGCATTGCCATGCATGCAGTTTTGCTCAGTGTTGAGTGTGAAGTGAACTGTTGACAGCGATCAACTGGGTTCCCTGGCTAATAAAACTATATACGTATTATGACAACGGCTTGACTGGTCGTGTGGTATAACACCTTCACAACAACTCGGTGTGCACTCAATGTTCCCACGGTCCTTTGCAAGGCCCAGCTTCAACTCCTTGAGTACCGTAACTGTCACTACTACGATAACTGCTGATTTACATTTTTGCTTATGTACAAAACCCCTGTGGGTCAGTAATAAATAATTACATTTTATATATAATTTACTGTTTAATATAAAGAGATAGTGTAGCAGTGTTCTTTCTGTAAACTGGTTTGCTGCTATTCTGTTTGATAAAACAAGGAGACTATTTATATATTAAATATAAGTATTGCTATTACCTGGATTTGTCTTATATTAATGAGATTGTCATGCTGTATTTTTAGTTTTCTTTGTTTTTACATGTAGCTGTGGGGCTTTTTGTCTGCTCAAAAAACAAATATGGTCTATAAAAATTGGCTTTGGTCCATTGGATGCTTTCTTTTGCTGTGTGTTTTTTCCTACACCAGCTATTTGAGATTGTTTAAAGAAAGGCTCACTGTGGATTTATTTTGTGTGTACATGTGTGGAGATGAAACTTGTGTGGCTTTCAGAAGCTGTGAGGTAACTTTGAGGTGACAGGGGAGATGAAGCAGGGCGTGGGCAGAATTGTGAGAAGCATCAAATTTCATGCCCGCTAACATCTGATTGTGTGTTATCAACATAAAACCTCACTAAGTTCACTAAGGTGAGAGTTACTGGTGGGAGCTGCCATGTGAAGTCATATTGCTTCTCAGCTAACAGTGAACACAATCACCCTGTTTACATCCTTCTCTGTAGATATTTAAATCCTGTGATATGTGCTTTTTTTTGTCTTTGCTTCTCTCAGCATATCTCCATCATCACAAAGCAAAATATTCCTGTTCTTCCCAGAAGGCATTTATGTCCCGACCTCTCCTGATCTTTGTAAATTTTTACTATTCAAAGTTTAGTTTACATTCCAGTCAGCTGTCAAATTTCTGTCACATGATAAGGTGACGTCAGTGCTATGAGCAGGTTGTTTGTTCTAGAAAGCTTTCATCGGGTGAAACAAACAGAGAGCCTTGTCGATAATTTTAAAAGTGTCTCTGTGATGATATTTCCTTTTTTTTTGTCTTCAGGTAAGAGCACACCAGTGAGCATGTCTGGCACAGGCGACCCTTCCAAACCGTGTGACCCCTTCCAGCCGTTCGGCAGCGACGCCATCGATCCATTTCAGAGTAAAAAGGGCCTGGGAGACCCATTCAGTGGCAAAGACCCTTTTGCTCCATCCTCAGCAAGTAAAGCCCCTAAAGACTCTACCTCTGGTTTTGCAGGCTTCAGCTCTGTAAATTGAGATTAGTGATGTTGTTTCACTATCAGTGTTTAGACAGGGCCACAAAGCTCTGCACAGACACCACAATGGACATTAGATTTAAGTGATTCTCTACTAAAGACTGATGAGGGCTGATGAGACAGAGGATGTAGCAGAGGTAGTGTAACTGTATGAAATGTATCTCAGTCGAAAGACAAGGTAATGCACCAACATGTTTTTAAGTTGAATGTTGAAATGACAACATTTCCACCTGGTATTAACAGGTGATGTATATTTTAGTCATGCTTTTCTTGGTTGATGATCTTTAGTAAGATCCAGTCATGGTGTGGTCAGAGTGCTTTTTAATACCAGGTTTGAATAAGGCCATTAATTAAAGATCATCATTCAGATCAGGGTTGCAACTAACAATAATTTTAAGATTATATAGTAGTCTATAAAATGTCCCAGACCTCATGGTGACATCTATAAATGTCTTGTTAAATGTCTGTCACTATGATGGATTTCCATCAATTAGATTACATGCCCATTGTGAGTGAGTGGTCACATATTCAGGCGTGTTAGTATTAAATTTAGGATTAAAACTGATACAGAACCAAAACACTATGTGTATTGGTTCTGCCTTAAGTATTAATGCTAAGCTAAGCTATCCGTGTACTGCAGGAACCCTGCCCCTCACTGCTGCACAAACAATGACAGATCATATCTGAAGAGCAGCCAAAGCGAGTTAAAGAGGCATTATTTGTCATTGTGCAGGATACAACTTAATTTCTAGAAAACAAGCAGAGAGATCTAATTTGATAATGAGAGGTAAACTGGACTGACACAACAGTTGTGCAGTTTGCAGAGCTGCCTTGTGACCGTCATCTTCCTCTAGTGCAGGAAAGGGTGTCAGCCCATTTTGTGGTTGTTGTGCTTGTTTTGACAGGAAGAATATCTCTGCCTTTTCATGGTTTCCGTGGACTTTAACAGGGGCTGAGGGCCAATATCAGAAGTGTGTTTGAATAATGCTCACAGTAGAATGTAGAGACTTGGAGAGTCTTGTGAGTTGCTTTGGATAAAAGCGTCAAATAATATGTAATGTAATGAAGAGTGCACAAAACTGTGAATGAAAACCATAATGAAAGCCATAAGCAGATAAGTACAGAAACTCACAATAATTCCTTAGATAATAGTGTGACTTTCTCTTTGTGTCACTGTGTTTTAGTTAGGGAGTTAAACACTTTCTAGATAAATAATCACTGTTTACTATTCAGGGAATAATGTTTGACTCAGTTCAGCTACGAGTCAGATATAAAACGAAACACAGCAATATCACTTCTCAACTCACAGCTCTGGAGTCTGCCACCCCTGCATTACCTTGCTGTGCATGTGTGTGTGTGTGTGTGTGCACGTGTGCATGCTGGTAGAAATGGTTTGCTGTCTGTTTCTGTAATGCTTGTCTTTGTTTTATCATTTGAATGTAATGTTTGTCACCTCTCTCATCCTTCAGCTTGTCCTTATTCTTATACCGGATACCTCTACTTCACCATCTGCTTCTTGCGGGAGCTCAGATACTAACTGATTGCTTAGAGATAACACCATTATTTATCAAAGTTAATTGGAAATCCCTTTCATGCAGTTTATGTAGCATCTAAGTAAAATATTTGCATACTACTTTTGGCTAGGAAAACAAGCCTGTAAAATATTTAGTGTCCCTATTAAATAATTCAATTAAATACTCTTATTAAATCACTCTTATTTGTTCTTCTCAGCTGGTCTACCAAAGCACCTGAAAGTAAAGGAGCTTTCAAGACACTAAACGGATTCCACTACCACTTCCGCTGTTTTTAAAGTAAACACCGTGGCAGATGTGCCGCTGAGGTCATGGCAGTGGCAAGGCAGCCTCTGCCCACTCTTGTGCTGCTGTTGAGTTCGCAATGAACTGTTTCACCTTGGCAACCACAGAAAGTACAATGAGGGAAATGATACAGTAGCTGATTTCCCAGGTTACCTGTAAGTCATCTGGGTAAAACAACGCCTAAACAGAATTGGTAAATGAGAGAAACCATAGACAAACATAATGATAAGCTTCATAATCAGCTTCAAAATCTGAATATTCAGTCTGAGTATAATTTAGTAACAGTGAGCAACTCTTGCTGTATTAGTTAATTGTTAATCACCTCCCTTATTTGAAGCTGTTAGCTGTGTGATGACGGACAGTGGACAGCAGCAGTCTGTGTTGTCCCTGATATATGTGTGTGTGTGTGTGTGTGTGTGTGTGTGTGTGTGTGTGTGTGTGTGTGCTTGTGTGTGCTTGTGTGTGCTTGTGCTTGTATGTATATGCTGTGATGACTGATCACTGATCCACTTAGTTAAGGGGTTTGTGATTTATAATCCCTCTGTTCTGTCATCAATCTCTCTGACAGGACCTGAAAAAGTTAAGGTAAGTTTAACTTTATTAATTCACATTAAATGACAGATGGGCAACAGTGTCCATATGGTATGACTTAAAAGGTATTTCAACTAAATGTTGAAATGTTTTTTGTCCGTTTTTTAGTTGTACATTTTGCCAAGAGATCAGTCAGAAATGATCAGTAACTGAATTGAAAAGCTCAGTTTGTTACATGAGTGAAGCAAACATTGCATCTCACTTCCCTGCTGCCCAGTACTCCTTTTTGAACTCACTTTAAGGTTACTATAAATAATGATATCAAAAACTGAGATAAACATTTCTCATTGTATTTCTTTATTTTTAGACTTGCATCCAAATGTTTACTTAGAAGAACATTTTCAAGGTTTTTAAATTGACATTTCTTTGACTTTTCTTTACTGCTAATGCCAATCATCAATCAATAAGTTCAATTGTATTTGTTTAGCCAATATTCACAAATTACAATTTGTCTAATAGAGCTTAACAAGGTGCGACATCCTCTGTCCTTAACACACAATGTCTTTTCTTCCTGGCCGCATGCTAATAGCACAGCTCTGCAACATATTCCACAAAAAGGAAGCTTGTAATGGCATTTTTTTTTTTTTTTTTACACATAGCTCCTGATAAAATCCTCTCTTACTCTCTTCCTCTCTAGTTTGGGAATGAGGCTCAGCAGTTGGAGTGGGCTAAGAGGGAGAGTGAGCGAGCAGAGCGTGAGCGGCTGAAGAGGCTCAGACAGCAGGAGCAGGAAGACCTGGAGCTGGCCATCGCCCTCAGCAAGGCCGAGATGTCCAACGCATGACCCACCACACGTAGACAGACAGTGCGTAGACAGGATAACAAACAGGCAACATGACTGACATCTACATAACTGACACCTTCACCTCCACTACTTACATCCTCCCATACTCAATGACTCAATGAATGAGGACCAGAAAGATGCAGAAAGACCCTCCGGGCAAGTCTTGCCACTGACCCACGTAAAAGGAAAAAAAAAGGAAAGAAAGTGTGGGCCCGAGAAGTCATCACTGCAAAACTCCTGCTGACATGAAGAGACAGAATACTGAAGGAGAGAAGGAGGAGCAGGTACTGTGTATAAGCACCATGGTGGCCGGACAGTGTTGGGTCCACTCACTGGACTGAGCAGATAAGCAAAGCATACCTGACACATCACATTGGCAGTTTGCATTTCAGCCTGTTGTTTTTCTTCTCCACCTTCTCTCACGGGTGGAAAAAGGAAGCAAATTTGCTAACAATACTACTGCTTCCATTCTAACAAGCAGCAGTGAAGAAAAATCACAGCACAATTCTTACTGCCATGGTTCAGAGGATTTATTTCCTGCTGTGTATGTGTGACGTGGACATATCACTGATTCTGATGTAAAGATTGTGTTACTTAGTATTCAGCATTGGGTTGTTTTTCCGGTATGAAGTGCTATAGAATGATATGTTGCAAAAGTATATGTGAATATTGAGGCATATGGAGAAGACTGAATCTGGATTTTCACTCCTCAGGATCAAGAATTTTCACCTCAGTTCAGTTTGCGCTCCCTGTTTTTCCCTCAGGAAACACTCACTGATCCAGACTCAGATGAGTTTTATTAGTTGACTTCTTTTCACTCCACTACATGCTAAATCAGGCAAACTGAAATTGATAATCATCTTCTCATCTGTCTCTGGGTACATCGAAGCATATGTCTCAGAATGTTGAGTTTCCTTTTATTTCTATCCCACACCAGGGGTCATTAGAGAGAATCTGGCCCCTGGTCCACACCGTCTGCTTCTTTCTTCCAGGTCAGATATAGTCATTGATAACATTATTAACCAACATTAGAGGGATATGTTCACATTTCCCTTTTGTGACGTTATGGGAGAAAAAAAACCTGATACATCCATTACACAGAATCCCTCTAATGTTACTGGTACCTGGCAGGTTGAAGTAATGGTTCAAATGAGTGACAGTAAGAAATGTACAGATATATTTTCTTTTTCATGGAGTGTGAGATAGTTCTGTGGAGACTTTTATTTGATGACATCGGGTATTCTCTCCCCTGCTGTCATGTATATAGACCAACATAGCTAACTATGCCTCTACTCTAATCCTGCTGTGACATACACCACATCCAACAGATGAAAGGCAACACGAGGGAATTATTTTTTCTACATTCGATGATGTTTTCTTCATAGAGAGCTATGGTTTTTAACACAGGTTTTATTTCTTATTATTCTGTCGACATGTTTTTGTTTTAAAAGAACATCACACTTTACGTTTTGTGACATCATTTGCTGTTGAGTTGACGTTAAAGTCCCTCTCGAGCTATTAAGAGTGTTCGGAAAAGTCTTTGAGTTGCTGACAGGTGTCATTACGCTGGAAACAGGAAATATGTGAAAAAGTTTGTAACGTATCATAGTTTAATCTTCCATCATGGACGGAAACCACTAACCTTATTTTTCTGTGAGCTGTCCCTTTACTTGAAGCGGAGACTGATGTTTGAGTGAGACAGTTTGACTTTCTATTTCACTCAGAGCTGCTGTGTTGTAGTTTCATGTCATATTGTGTTTTATATATGTGTCTGTATTACGTGTCCATGATCACTCCCACTCTTAGTGTTTTGCCATGTGCATGTCCTGCAGTCAGATCCTGCTCAGAGCACACAAGTTGTCCCGATCGTGACTTTAAGGGAGGAGTTTTTTTGTTAAACTTGGTTGTCATGGGAAGAAAAGTCTTTAATTACTTTATTGATACCACTGTAGCAGGAGCATTATACAATGCTGAATATCTCCTGATAGAACCTGAACATTTCAGTCATTCAGTAATTCCTCGAAGCTACAGGAAGAATCTTGAAAATACAAAGTTCTCTTAACAACTTGGAATTTTTTTGAAGTGAATATAAATTAGGAGATTGTTTTTATCAGTATACTCTCATATAGTGTCCAGACACTATATAGATTCCTGTTTGCCAGGATGAAATCCTGTGTCATGATTTAATTTATATTGTTTCATTTAACCCAAACCTCAGTCTAATTTGTTGTACGTGTTTTTATCATGTTTCTAAATTGTTTGCCCATTATAAGAGTAGTTTATATTTTCATATTTTTCCCATAACGAATGTTATGAACATATATTTTACCAAAATGTCTATGTTGTTAAAATTTGATGTGATGCCTAATATGATGGTCCTGGATCAGGGCTAGCTCTTTGTCAAATGGTAAAAAGCTGAATCTTTCGGGAGAAGTAAGAATGTGAACTCAGTCCTCTGTATTTGGTTACAGCAGCCTGTGACGAAGGCTTTGCACTGACTGGTACGGCAAGTTATATCTGCTTCTCCAGTCACCACATTGAGGAGGTCAATACCAGGACTGAAATACTGAACAAATTTCTTTCCACCTTATTATGTCTGGAACTATGTCTCTGCTGGAATCGATAATGTGAATTCACTCACATTGGAGTTGAATGCTGTTGAAGTTGATGTGCAGCCACTGATTCTGCCACAGTGCGAATTGCCTCTCCCTGCCATTTTCTTTGTCATGTTTACATATCATTGATATTTACTTTGCTGTAGCTGTTACAAACATTGTTCCTGTAGAAGAGTGACCCTGGTATTACATGAGCCTCTCCATCTAAGCTGTGCACAGCTAACACCTCTGTTGGCCTTCCATCTACTGCTGAGTCATAAAGCGTCCTAGCTTTTTCAAACGGTTGCCATGCTCCTGCCACCCGGCTGTGGAAATGTCACTAGATGAGCAACTGTTAATATATCATCGTCAGTTTTCAGATCTCACAGAAAGCAGAATCACAGAATTGTGCTGTTTGTGGTTTTTCTCTCTTCAAACTCACCACCTTTTTTTTTTGGTCCCTACTTAAAACTTGTTAAAAAAAGTCATTAGTGTTACATTACATGATGTGCTGGTAGTTTACATGTCATTGCCAACAAAGTCCTTTTCAGTTAATTTAAGTGCCAGCAGCTTTTCACAACAATGTGACAAACGCCTTGTGCAGCAAAAATAACAAGACTGGCTTTGAGTGTCCATTTAATATCTCCACATGACACATCAGCCAGATGTTTCAGCTGCCACAGGAAAGTAAACCCTTAATGACACATGAAAACACCACTCTATCATTTTCAGTAGATATGGTGTGTTTTTCTGGAGCTTGTGTGATGGTTGATGGTTGGGCCCAGTTGTGTAAAATCCCTCAGATAAAACCAGGAACTATTTGATCAAAGAGTAATCCACGGACCTGATCATATGTCTGATGACAACTCTTCCTACTTGGCAGTTTTTGTCAGTTTTCAATCAGATCCAGTCTTCAAACTTGATACTGAGCCATAGTGTGACCTCTGACCCCCCTCTGTCCTTCATGTTTTTCTGTCTTTGTCCCTCTGACCTCAGCCCGTCTGCTGTGTGCTGCTTAGACTGGAGAGCTCCATAGCGGTACCCTCATCCATACTGTGTTTGTCATCCGACTCCTCCATTGTGCAATAGATGATGTTTGTTTTAATTGTGTTGTGCATACTGCGAAAGCAGTCTGGTGATTTTTATATGTAGCATATGTTTTCAATGTGTTTATTTATGTACCTTCCACCACCCAACTTGCTAATTTCATCCGACTAAAGCAGCACAATCTAAAACCCTTTCATTACAGAATGGTTTTGTCTATTTCGGAAAACAAAATAGTAACACATGTTCAACACTCAGTATTTTAAGCCACACAATTATTATTTAAAACAATCCATATTTATATAGTGACAACTGAGACATCACTTTTTATGACTGAATTCCTTAGTTATAGTCAGTTTTATGGATAATTCATATAGATGTAACGGAGATGAATTGTGTCTTTACTGACATGCTGATGATTAACAGTGAGCTGCCCACATTTTTTTATTTTATTTCATTTTTCGTTCTCTTCAATATTACTTGTCTGAGGCATGTTTGATTTTTTTCCCCTCGCCCTCACACAAAGATAAAATAATCTGAGCTGTCTTTATTAAGATGGATACAGTGTGTATACAGTCTGTATAGGATAATGTCTATAATATTTGTCCCTTAAAAGTGAAGAAGAAGAAGAAGAAGAAAAAGTAAACTTGACAAGGAACCATTTGGAAGGTTGCCTACACTTACACTTATGCTGAGAGAATTATTTTGAACAGTGATCCTCTCTACATGGTCTGTACTGTTTACTAGAATAAACGTTTCAGTTTAATGAGAATGGACTTGTGCATGTTCTGTTACAGGAGCTGGGTTGAAGATCAGTAAACCAGCGGAACTCAACTCTAAAAGTGGCTGCAATTTTATGTTGACTACACCTGTATTTTAATATTGCACTTCCATAAAGGGAAGAAACCAGATTTAAATACAGAATAAACATTGAAAATCTAAGCAGCAATGTATAAACAAATGTTCCCTCTGTGAAAATCAACTTCTGCTTCTTGTGTCAGTTTTCAAAGTGTTAATCGAATCAGGGGAAACTAAGCCAATGTTATGCAGAATCAGGACATTTCTAGTGTTGTGATCTATTTTGAGTCACATTGTAGTCTTGAAAATGTGAAGTGCAGCAAGTGCTGTCATGTCACATTCCAATCGTTTTGTATTTTGCTGTGCAAATTTCCAACAATTCTGTTTCCATTGTCGCGTCAGTGCAAATACACAGAAACAGCAAGAAGCAAAATACAACAGTTGAGTAAGCAAAGAATCTGTCATCATCCAAGCATGTTTCCTGTTAATGGTGGTAAGTGGTGTGTGTCCGACTTCCACAGTTGACATGTTTATTTTGCTATGCTTACACTCTATCCTTCATTTGGGATCCAAAGAGGCTCTGAAAGTTCCCTTTGCACTGGACCAGTTAGATTCTGTTCTGTGCCACAAATGAATCCTACATGTTTCCCACCTCCTTGTGTTTACTACACATCAGTGATCGACCAGTTTCTCTGTTAAACTGTTGGAGATAATCAGGGCTGTGGTATATCCTAACCTAGCTGCACAGAGCTATCAATGCTGGAGAACAGTCTGGCTTAACCTGGCATTATTACACTAAATAAATGATCACACTTTCTCTTTAATCCAATCACCTCGGACACTGCTAGACCCGCAATGGTGCCCCACCAAAATAAAAAAAATTTGAAACCTAGGTAAATGATTAATTTGTTGCAAAGAAAAACACAACTTTAAAGACACATTGACTGTGATTGATTAAAAATTTAAACTCATCCTAATTCAGTGTGCATAGGTGCAGCTCTGAGGTTTTGGTCCTGGACTCTACTTCAGTTTAGTACTGAGCAGCAAGTCACAGTGGGTTTTCACCATATGCACAACAATAATACAACTTTATGAGGAACATTTACAGGCCCATAATGTGTCTCTTTGAACTGGTTCTGATTCTTCTCTTTAAGGATTTGGACCACAGCACCAGGGATAACTTGCAATGTATATTTAAAAGATCCTCTGCATTTATTACATTGGGTGAAGCCAATTCTATAGATGACACAGTCAGCAGTCTGTCACAGGACTGACAAATAGAGATAATCAATCATTCACGCCTACAGCACTGTGGGAGGAAGCTGGAGAACCTGGAGAAGACCCCTGAATCCATGGGGGGGGAACATAAAGAGGTCCAGGTTCGATACCAGAAGCTTGTTACTGTGACAGCGAGGACATGACCAACATGTCCGCTACAAAGGTAGTCCCAAATCACAGTGATTCCTCTGAAGGGTACGGTGCTGTTATTGTCAATATAAATGATTCACAAGAGACCAACATAAGACCAAACATAAAATGAATAATGTTAAGTTTTACAACATGTTACACAGACAGCCTGCTCTCTCACATGTGAGGCACAGAGCTTAAACACAAGCTGCAGTAACAGCTCCATCCCACCAACAGCCACAATGTGCAGTGAATTACACTAAGCTACATTTCAAGGATACAGCTGTGCAGTGTGAAATGAATGCTGTGCAAACACTGCAGCCATTTCTGGTCATATTAGCTGAAACCCAAGCAATCTGCTATGTTAGCGAATGCTAACTGTCTCCGTATGAAATAACAGGAAATTCCTGCTAGGTTTGTGTTTACCCAGTGGTAATGGAGAGGAGGAAATGAAAAGCCTATTGGCTTTTAACTGGGAATGTGGGTCAGAGAGAACTGGAGGGTAAACATGGGTTTGCCCTCGCTGGTTCAGTATCTCCTCCGTCTCTCTTCTGACCAGTGTGCTTTCACTTTGGGCCTCGTCAGCACATGCCACACTTCCCCACTCCACTATTCTCAGCTTGGAAACAGTGGGATATTCCTCTGGCTGATGACCGCGGATATACACACGCAAATGAAAAGAATGCCCGCTGCAGAGCAACTTCTGGTTCAGCCTGTGTTTGTGATGCCTGTCAGTGTCAGCCACCAGCATTCCAGTTCCTGACAGAGTAGCAAGGAAGGATCCAGGGCCCTCAAGTGAGCACTTGAGGACTACTTGACTAACTTCTCCAGAGGCTACTTTTGGTAGAGAACATATTTAGTGGTGGTATCAGATTCTCACGGTCAGGATTTACTGCTTTTATCATAATGCCTTGGTCTCTGAGGTTGTGTCCTCCCAGCAGTATGAGGGAATTTGAAGGAGTTGCACAGGCTGACTAGGAGATTACATTCAATAATCGCACAGTAATTAGCCTGATTCCGAACAAAATAAATTTGCAAATTTGCCTTGTACTTTATTCTATGCTACAGTTCTGAGACAAATGTAATTTTAGAGACTTTGACTCCTGACCTCAGTTTGTATAAAATCCTGGATACAAGGGCCCAGGACTAAATCATTTATCATCAATTTGAGGCTCTGAGGAAGATGTCATTGACATTACAGACATCAAACCAGGGTGGCTGTGGCTCAGGAGTGGGTCAGTCGTTTGATCCCAGTCTTCTTCCTTCTGCATGCTGAAGTGTCTTTGGGCAAGAAAGTGAACCCCGAATTGCTTGACTGCTGTGCCGATGTCATTTAGAAAGTGCAGCACATAGATGCACTGTAAGAAGGAATGGGTGAATGGCAAAAACCTGTACAGGAAAGTGCTATTGTATATAAATGCAGAAGATTTGTCATTGATAAACTATTGCTGTTGTTTGAGTATATTTCAGTATGTTGTTTATCAAAGGCTGTTTCACATGAGGAGGATGATACTTGGGACTCACACTTCCTGCTGTAGACTCTTGTCCTGTATAACCTTCAACCTGCGTTTTCTGTTGATATGACACATGCAAAAAAATCTGAATTCAAAATGTTCGATTTTGTGTGTTTGCTCAAAAGTAAGTGGAGTGGAGCTGCTGGCAGTTTGTATAAGGAGACTGTAGGCCAGGGCTTCGTCACTGACAGGTAGTGACTAACAAACCTCTGCTGAAACACTCACAGTTCTGTTTTACCAACCCTGTGGGGACAGTGCCATCATGTATTCCTTAGCCCCTCACCCTAAACATCCTAAAAAGCTGATGAATGTCCAAACCTAAATTACTAACTTTAACCTTTGTACTTAAATGAAACTTCTTAATAGTTAAAAAGCAGTCTATAGACATAGGCACAAAGATTGAGGTTCCATTGGGACACTAAGCTCCAGTCATGTCCCACAGACACAGCCCTATGAGACAAATGGTGATTTGTGAATATGGGCTTTACAAATACAATTGATTGATTGATTGATTGATTGATTGATTGACTGACTTATTGATTGATTGATTGATTGATTGATCGATTGATTGATTGATTGATTGATTGATTGATTGACTGATTGATTGATTGATTGATTGATTGATTGACACATATCTTCTGTCAGTCAGTCAGAGGTGGACAGATGTCTTTGGGCAGCTATATTAAAGCAATGTTTAAAATGATCTCACATAATCTTCGCCTCAGTGAAATCGTAGCTTTTTCCGAATCATGTGCAGAAGGACTCATCCTTTTTTTTTTTGTTGGTTGTCAGTCTGGTGAATGTCTGACAGAAAAGAAACGCTTGAGTTTCACACTTGAAGGTGGAACATGCCTGGATCTGCACAAAGGCACATGGAGACTGTTTTGTGTTTTTTGGTTTGATGCACTGGGCTGCACAGTGTGTAAATGTAACACTGATGTTTGCAGTGCCATTGCCACTGAAAGCAACACACCACACTTCACTGGGTTCAGAAACGGTGGCCTAGTGTGAGAAAACAAATTTATTTAAATAATTACATGATGATATTTTTGTCCAACAGCAAAATTGTAAATAAGACTGATCAATTAAAGAACATCAATATCTTTTGGGAACGCAGCCAGGCATATATCTCCTCTCGTCCATTTCACTCCTTCACCCAATACCTCCTCCCTTACCTTCTTGAGGAGAAGTTGGTCATCAAAATGGAAAACAAAAAACTAATTTGGAAAAATGTTTGTTAATATATTCTCTTATTAGGCATTCACTCACTGGATTCCTTAAAGAGTGTCCTGCTGTCCCCAGTAGATGGCATCCTCTTTCCATACATAGAATTCCCACTTTTCTTCAGGCAGTGCTAGGCACCTGAGGCTCTGGGAATCTATCCAGATTAATATTTTTTTCAGTTAAGATGAAAAAACTAGAGCAAGCAGCTGATAAAGTTCGCTGCTTCACTGAATTTCACCAGAGAAATGTTTGTACCACGTCCAAAGAGTGTTTACTTTTGTAGAAAAGAATCAGCAGTAATCATACAGTAAGCAATGAGCTCAGTTTCAGTTCAATTAAATCCAATTTTATTTGTATAATGCTAAATCACAACAATGCGTTATCTCGAGGCAATTCACATCGTCAGGTCGAGACCTTACAAGATTATGAGAAACCCAAAAGTTCCTATATACACCCGGGCACTGGAGCCTCCAGGCATCTTATTATGTGATGATCGACAGGAAGATCAGGTTGAGTCTGAAAAAGCCTTAAAAAGATTCACTGGTTTGGTTCCATCTTCGACCATTGACAGGGACAGTATCGCAATCACAACACACACTTTTATTTATGAGTGTGCTGTGTTGGAGATCGAGAGGAATATGCTACGGTGGGGAGTTCTTCTGAGATAAACTGTTGCACAAGAGCTTGTGAGCATGTTTACAGTGTCTTGCTGAGTGAAAACAGTCTTGGATAGTGAGGTGGGAGGGAGACTCAGTAAAAACAACACTGCTCACAGAGGAATAAGGAAGCATGCTTCGCTGTAGGGGTGTGTGTGTGTGTGTGTGTGTGTGTGTGTGTTCCTGTACTTGTACCTTTGTGTGGACCATTTTAAGCAAAGACCCTACAGAGTGAGGGCATTTAGATGTATAGGGTTAGGCATTTAGTTTGGATAGTTAAGGTTAGGTGTGTGTGT